ATATCTTAAAACCTCCATAGGAAGGAAGATTTAGAGCTGCTTTGCTTCTTGGTCAGGGATAGACTCAGAATGGCTAAGCAAAATTTTGTTGAGTTTTGGGTCTTTGCACTTCAGTATCCTGCAAGTTTTCTCAGGGCAAGCAATTCCTGTTGAGCAACATGCCTTTGAATGCATTTTGTTTGCTTTTGTCTTTGGCTTGATATTAGCTGGCTAGCTGTGTGGTTTCCTAATACCATCAGACAGGTTGCTAGGCAGTAATCTGAGAACAGTGTCTCTGGAGGCCAACTGAACTCCTTTGAAGTTTGTTAGGGAGAATGGACAAACTTGAAATTGTAATTCAGAAGCAAATAGGTAGGGGTATAGTGGGGCCTATGGGAAGCTACAGGAAGCTGATATTGGGCATTAAGTGCCTTGGGTTTCAAATTAATAGCCAGCTATGCATTGCCAATTCATTTTCCCTTTCTTCCATAGTCAGGCATCAGCCAGTAAGTGGATCTGTGGGAGGCTATATGGCACTGGGTACTGTGGGGGGAGCCAGAAAGGGTAGCTGGTCTCTGTGGGGCATAGACTAAAGGTTCAGGTAGCAGAAAGAGTCCTGAGGTCTGGTGCCTTTGAGAGAGGGCCGTGTGGAGGAATTGAAACTGAGCCATGCCTTGAAAATTGGGTAGGCTTGGAGGAGAGGAGGCAGAAAAGAAAAAGAAATAGGGAACGCATTTTGGTTGGAGGTGGGGATGATAAGCTCAAAGGCTTAGAGGGAAAATGTACAAGTTATGTTTGGGAAATAAAATATGGAGCAATGTAGCCAAAACTGGTTTGGCTCAGTGGATAGAGCGTCAGCCTGCGGACTGAAGGGTTCCAGGTTCGATTCCTGTCAAGGGCATGTACCTTGGTTGCTCCCTAGTAGGGGGTGTGCAAGAGGCAGTTGATCGATGATTTTCTCTCATCCATGTTTCTACCTCTCTATCCCTCTCTCTTCCTCTCTGTAAAAAAAAAAAATCAATAAAATATATTTAATAAAATAAAATAAAATATGGAGCAATCTAATTAGAGTAGTGAGACATTATGAAAGGAAGTTAGGTCTAGCTTGGAGGTCCTGATTCTCCAAGCAATGGGGTTTTGACTTTACTCTGAAGATAATGAAGAGCTATGAAAGGTTTATAAACAAGGGATCCAAGATGGCTGCGCCCAGGTGAACACCTAGCCGCAGCCGCACACAACAATTTCAATAAAATACAACTAAAATATAAAACGGACATTGCCCAGAACTACAGGAAGGTTGACTGACTGGAAATTCTACAGCGAGAAGCAAGGAGAAAACCAGAAGGAGGCGCGGAGGAGCTGGAAAAGCCCAAGGTACGGAGACGCGGCGCGGAGAGGACGGAGCCAGAGAGGAGGGAGGCCGAGTGCCTGGCGGGCGTTCCTGAGCGGAAAGGAGAGAAAAGCTCCGACTGTGCTGGGCCCCCGACTGCTCTGATCCCCGGTTCTGGGCCAGACCCCGGGGACTCAGGCTCAGCCATAGGGAGCTGGGCTGTAAGGCGGAACCCCGGGGAGAGGCGAAAGGAGGTCCCGGAGGCGCGCACATTGCGCGCAGAGAAGGGACGGTCGGCTGTGCCGCAGGATCGCCCTGACGGGAAGGAGACTGGGGCTCCAGACTGCTCTGAACGCCACCTCCAACTCCATTTCCAACTGAACTGAACCCCAATACCGGGCTCATTGTGGGAGAGCATAGACTGTTTGGCAGCAGGCGAAAATCGAGGGCACCTTTCTCTCAGAGGCGCTGGCAGCAGCGAGCACTGAAGGACCCGCATAGGGCGGGGCTGACAGAAGCCAAAGCTGCAGGCTCCACCCTGAAACCCCGTCCCATCTGTAACTGCGAAATGCGACAACAAAATAGATCACAAACGAAAGAAATGGAGGACAAAAAGCGTCTGGATATAGAGTTCAAATCTACGCTTATAAGTTTTTTCAAGAATTTCTTAGAAAAGATGGATAAGGGCTACGAGGATATGAAAAGAGATCAACTAGAATTAATAAGGAGTCAACAAGAAATGATAAGGGATCAACAAGAAATAAAGAATACATTGTCTGAAATAAAAAATATTTTACTGAGTCCTAAAAACAGAAGGGAAGATCGCAAGAATCAAGTCAAAGATTTGGAACATAAAGAGCCAGAAGACACTCCTCCACAGAAGCTAGAAGGCAAGAGAATCCAGAAAATTGAAGATAATGTAAGAAACCTCTGGGACAACTTCAAGCGAACCAACATCAGAATTATGGGGGTCCCAGAAGATGAGAGAGAGCAAGATATGGAAAACATACTGAAAGAAATAGTGACAGAAAACTTCCCCTACCTGGTGAAAGAATTAGACTTACAAGTCCAGGAAGCGCACAGAACTCCAAACAAAAGGAATCCAAAGAGGACCACACCGAGACACATCATTATTAAAATTCCAAGAGCAAAAGACAAAGAGAGAATATTAAAAGAAGCAAGAGCAAAGAAGGTAGTAACCTACAAAGGAGCACCTATACGATTGTCAGCTGACTTCTCAACAGAAACCATGCAGGCCAGAAGGGAATGGCAAGAAATATTCAAGGTGATGAATAGCAAGAACCTACAGCCAAAAATAATCTACCCAGCAAAGCTATCACTCAGAATCGAAGGCCAGATAAAGAGCTTCACTAATAAAAAAAAGCTAAAGGAGTTCATCACCACCAAACCAGAATTATATGAATTGCTGAAGGGGGTTCTTTCAGAAGAGAAAGTAAACAAAGATAAAAATTATGAACAACAAATACATAACTATCAACAAGTGAATCTAAAAACCAAGGAAATTAAAAAAATCTGATGAACAATATTAACTGTTGAATATAATAGAATCAGAGGTATGGAAGGGGAGTGAACTGACGATTCTTGGGGAAAAGGGGAGAGGGGGGCGTGGGAAGAGACTGAACATAAACTGTGCACCTATGGATGAGGACAATGGGGAGAGGGGAAAGGGCAGAGGGTGGGATGGGAACCTGGTGGAGGAGAGCAATGGTGGGTGGGGGGAAAGGAACATTTGTAATAATATGAACAATAAAAACTTATTAAAAAAATAAATAAATAAAAAAAATAAAAATATAAAAAGCAAAAAAAAAAAAAAAAAAAAGAAAAAAAAAAAAAGGTTTATAAACAAGAACACTATAAGATGAAGGCAGTATGGCCAACTAACTTCAATTTAGTCTCTGAGATATAAAATATTTAGATGGGCTTGTGATTGGGCTAAAAGAGGGTTTAACATCACCCAGAGATAAATATATAGATGGATTTTATATTTCACTTTTTTTTCTGGTGGGGGAGGGGAGTGAGTCATAGTGGGAAAGATTACTGCACGTTCTTAGGGAGGAAAGCATGAAGTTGTTATAATGAAGTTAAATATAGTTAGAAGAATGAGAATGGATGCTGAGTAGCCAAAGAGGTAGACTGTCCTAGTCATGTGTCTATTGATATCAGCCCGTATCTGCCCTTAAGTGCTAGGCTAAGGCTCAAATTATATTTTTCGTGCTCCTGTACTAGCTGGTTTCTGCATAGGTTTTGTCAAGGAAAGACAGAAGATGGAGAGAGTAAATTCCCTTCCTGCCTCTGAATTTTGAGGGCATCTTCTGCAGCAGTGACAGAAGCCAGCAGCGACGACAGCATTGGTGGTGGTGACAGCATTGGCTCTAGGGACAATGACAACAATGGATAGAAACAGTGACTTCAGCGAAGGAAGCAATGACCCGCAAAGTGCAGGCTCCTGGGTTCCTGCTCCAACGGCCAACAGGAGGCTTAGGGACTCCGTGCCTCTGAGCTTTGGGGAACATTTTTGCTCCTTTAGCCCAGGGTGGGATGGTTTCCTGAAGTTCATCATCTCTGAGTAGTCAGCCTCCCCCTCCTTTGCTCCTCCCATTGAGCAACATCCCGTGACAGGGAAACGACTCAGGACCTGTGCTTCTAATACTCCGGTAGCCAGTTTCTTTATTAATTTGTTCTATTTGAAATAACTAGACTGGGGAGGGCCTGCTCCTTCAGGATCTCAGTCGCAACCTCTCGGCCAACTCCTCCGCTCTCTTCTCTGGGAATTCCTTTATCGTGTTCGCCATCCCCACCTGGTTACACTGGCGAATGTGGCGTCTGGATCTTATCCAGTCTGCTGTTCTGAAGAGCGTGATGACCCTTGTAAGCACTTACTGGGTAGCCTTTGCCTACAAAAGTGTGAAATTTGTTCTCAAGCACAGAGTAGCCCAGAAGAGGGAGATGCTGTCTCCAAAGAAGTGACTCGGGAACTTTCTGAAGCTGATCATAGAAAGGTGTCTGGGAAGGAAAAAGATGAAAGAATCTTATGGAAGAAGAAGGAAGTTGCTGAGTATGAAGCTACATTTTCCATCTTCTATAACAACACCCTATTCCTGGTCTTGGTCATTGTTGCATCCTTCTTCATATTGAAGAACTACAAGCCCACAGTGAACTGTATTCTGTCCTAAGTGCTTCATCAGGTCTCATCGCCCTCCTGTCCACTGGCTCCAAATAGACCGTGTCAGCTTCACCGCTGGTTTTGTATCTAGGGGTGGTCTGAGATGTATGGAAAAGAAGCCAGGTGGTTGGGATGGGAGACATATAAGACGTTTTTATAATCTGGAGGTTGAGGGTTTGAAAGACCCAACAAAATATAATTCAATATTTGTTTCTTGGCTCTTTTTTTTGACAGACTTTTGAAATTACATGAATTGAAAGGGAAACTTATAGCACCAAGGCATTTATTAAAAGGCAAATGTGGCCAAAACCAGTTTGGCTCAGTGGATAGAGCGTCGGCCTGCAGACTGAAAAGTCCTGGGTTCGATTCCGGTCAAGGGCATGTACCTGGGTTGTGGGCACATCCCCAGTGGAAAGTGTGCAGGAAGCAGCTGATCGATGATTCTCTCTCATTGATGTTTCTAGCTCTCTATTTCTCTCCTTTCCTTTCTGTAAAAAAATCAATAAAATATATTAAAAAAAAAAAAGGCAAATGTGTCTGGCAATGTGCTATAACCACAAGAGGAGAAAATAACTTGTTTCCTTGCTCTGCCAGAGGTCACAGTACCCTGGACTGAACTGTTAGCATTTGTTGTAGTAGCAAGAAGTAAATAGCTGGTTTGTGTGTTCCAAGCAGACTATTAAAGCCTTTTTTTAATTTTTTAATTTTTTTATTTTTATAAATCATAAATATCAGAATGAATCCTCTTTCCTCCCCGTCCTCCTGTGGGGTGGGGTGAGGTGGGGGATGGGATTGAACTGCATGTCTACAAGTCTCTGAATTTGTGATTTCAAAGTTAAAAACATTGTTTCTCAAAAAAAAAAAAGAAAGAAGAAGAAATACGTAGACTGGTTTTCTTTTCCTTGATTATATCCTGATTAATATAATACCTAGGCCTGACCATCTTGGCTCAGTGATTGAGTATTGACCTATGAACCAGGAGGTCAGGGCACATGCCCTGATTGTGGGCTGGATACCCAGTGTGGGGTGTGCAGGAGGCAGCTGATCAATGATTCTTTATTATCAATGATGTTTCTATCTCTCTCCTTCTCCCTTCTAGAAATCAATCTAAAGTATATTTTAAAAAATATAGTACCTACTATACTTTCCTCACTTGGCTTCTAGAAAGGACAACATTGAACATTCCTCTCACCCTACTGGACATTCCTTCTCAGTCTCCCTTGTTGGTCGGTTCCCCCTCTTCAACATAACTCTTAAAATTGGGGTGCCCCAGTGTAAGGGGCAGAAATAGAATATTGGGGACTAGCTATTAGTTATAAGAAATATTAATCAGCCGAAACTGGTTTGGCTCAGTGGATAGAGCATTGGTCTGCAGACTGAGAGGTCTCAGTTTGATTCTGGTCAAGGGCATGTACATTGGTTGCAGGCACACCCCCACTGGTGGGGAGTGTGCAAGAGGCAGCTGGTCGATGTTTCTCTCTCAGCAATGTTTCTAGCTCTCTATCCCTCTCCCCTCCTCTCTGTAAAAAATCAATAAAATGTATCTTAAAAAATAGAACTATTAATCAAACTTTGTTAACAATGATTGTGTTGTTCTGATTAAAGAAAGCACACTCTATCCTGGCTGGGAGTTGTATGGCCCTGCCCCCAGGACCTGGGAGTCAACCTTGGAATGTAGTCCATTCTCATCTGAGAACAGCCTATTATCATGGAAAGATAATACTTACGATGATGTGCGCTGACCAACATGGGGCCACACGGAACGAAGGAAGGCCCTGGCCAGCAGCCAGAAGACCCGATCAGCCCTGATCACTGGCCAGGCCTAGGGACCCTACCCCTGCACAAAATTCATGCACCAGGCCCCTAGTTATTGGAATAAATGCTCATATGTGATTCAACCCTGTCTCTGCCTAATTGGCTCGAGTAGTGTCAGGCAAATGGGACTTTTGGTTTTCTGGTTTCACCAGGGCATGAGAACTTGGCTTGCAAACAGTTAACTTTCCAGTAATGTAAAGATCGAATCTGCTGAAACCGGTTTGGCTCAGCGGTAGAGTGTCGGTCTGCGGACTGAAAGGTCCCAGGTTAGATTCCAGTCAAGGGCATGTACATTGGTTGTGGGCACATCCCCGGTAGGGGGTGTGTAGGAGGCAGCTGGCCGAAGTTTCTCTCTCATTGACGTTTCTAGCTCTCTATCTCTCTCCCTCCCTCTCTGTAAAAAAAAATCAATAAAATATATTTTTTAAAAATCAAATCTTATCTGTAATACAGCTCTATCATCCAGGAACACAGGAATTAATTTCACTTTACAGATGGCAAATTTGAAGATTTCTTGCTCTAGGAACCATTTAATTGACGACCTCTTAATTTCACATGGTTCTACCTCTGAAACTGTGACTTAATCTCAGATTGATACAGCTAAAGAGTAGTCTAAGAGATTTGCTCACTGCTGGAATATTCCCCATAAAAACCCTACAATCCAGGTTCTCATCACCTTCTTCACAGGCTCAGAAATTACTTTTTTATCAAGCCCACCCTGAAAATTAAACAAATTCAACAACATAAAAGTGTTCCAATAAAGTGCTTATATTTTTCAGATATGAATAATATAAAATGTAAAACCACCATTTTAAACAATGAGTTACTGATGATGGACATTTGTAGTTTTAAGATAACTAAAGTATCTCAACAATACTGAGGGTTCCAACCCATGAACATGGGGTATCTCTTCATTTAATTAGGTGAGAGCATCCTGTTAGCTCTTTGACCTCAACTCCAGGGACCTTCACCTCTGCTCCACCTAAGGTACCCACTGCCATGGCCACCCCCTGGACATTGCATCACTTAGGACTCCCTCATTTCTTAAATCTTGAATTCAGACATCCCCCAGTGACCACACCTTCCCAACCTTCCACCTTTTCCCACCCAGTTGCTCCCACTACAACAATTTTTCAAATTTATTAGATTTGCCAGCCCCATGGCCCCTCTGCGGTCTCCTTTTCTTTTCACTTTCTCTATTCTAATTCCTTTCCTACCCGGTAGAGATGGAATGTCTTCAACACCTTTTGGCCAAACACCTCTCTTTTGCTCTATTGTCTCTATGCAGTGGCATTTAGTCAAACCATTTCCTGTTCTACATTGGGACAGAGTCATGCCAATCAAAACTAGAGGAAATGGAGGAAAAAATTTAGAAGGTTGCTATGTACTGTCGATTTCTTGCCCCTTTTAGCAAAGTCCTCCAAAAGAAGGTTAGGCCTTGTGAAAGGGTTTTCCATAAGAATTATCTAAGGAAGCAAGTCTACCAGCAAAGAGGGTATTAAGGGAGTTTCCTTTCCAACTCCAGCCTCCCCACACCTAGATACTGGATTGTCTCAAGAGTAAGACCTTTTGCTGAAACTGGTTTGGCTCAGTGGATAGAGCGTCAGCCTGCAGACTGAAGAGTTGAGAGTTCAATTCTGGTCAGGGGCACGTATCTTGGTTGCGGGCACGTCCCCAGTAGGGGGTGTGCAGGAGGCAGCTGATTGATGATTCTCTCTCATCGATGTTTCTAACTCTCTATCGCTCTCTCTTCCTCTCTGTAAAAAATCAATAAAATATATATTTTTTAAAAAGATTAAGACCTTTAAATTAAGTGAGAAGAGGATTAGCAGAATACAGGGGTTAAAAAGCATGTCTTCAGGCTTAAAAGGATCTGAGGCAAAAGTTTAGGGTCTCCGACTGGGCCGGGGAATTAAATTGATAAGAGAGATCAACAGGAGAAAAACATACAGATGTTTGCAGGACATGGAAGTCCCATACAAAAATGAAGACCCAAACAGGAGATAGGCCCAAGTGTATGTACAGTGATGCCTTGCATAAAGAACGCCTCGCACAGCGAAACGCTGCACACAACGAACTTCATTTCATGATTCATACAACGAACTTCGTTTCACACAACGAAGTCGCCCGAGCTTCCACGACTGCTTTGCCCGAGCTTCCACGACTGCTTCGCCCGAGCTTCCACGATCGCTGCTGATGTATTGCATCCTTCCGCGCAGGCACTGCAGGCAGTCGTTAGTCACTGCGCTTAACTTAAGCACGTATCGCGGCAATCGTTCTTCATTACGAATTAAATCACGCACGTATCACGGCAGTCGTCCTTTTAAGTTAAACTCAATATTTTTTTTTATATCATGGCTTCTAAAAAAAGCAGGAAGGTGATTTCTGTTGAAATGAAACAGGAAATAATTAGAAGGAGTGAATGTGGGGTAAAACAGTGTGACCTCGTCAAAGAGTTTGGCCTCAGCAAGACCACCATTTTCACCATTTTGACAAATAAGGATGCAATCAAATCAGCCAAAGTAGCCAAAGGAGTATCAAAACTATTTCATGAAAAACATAGGTCTTCAATCCACGAGGAAATGGAGAGGCTATTAGCGATTTGGATTAAGGACAGGCAGGTGAAAGGTGACGTAACAACCCAAGATATTATCTGTCACAAAGCCAAGAGAATTTATGACGATCTAAAGAAAAACGTCCCTGGAAGTAGCAGCAATCAAGATAATGAAGAAGAATTCAAAGCCAGCAGGGGGTGGTTTTTTAGATTTAAGAAAAGGTGTGGAATCCACAGCGTTACTATGCATGGTGAGGCTGGCAGTGCTGACAAGAAAGAAGCAGAAAAGTTCTCTATTAACTTTCAAAAATGTATTAAGGATGAAGGATACTGCCCACAACAAGTGTTCAATGCCGATGAAACGGGTCTTTTCTGGAAAAGAATGCCGAGCAGAACCTTCATTACAAAAGAGGAGAAGAAATTTCCAGGACACAAAGCCATGAAGGACAGACTTACCCTTATGTTTTTGTCTAATGCCAGCGGAGACCTCAAGATCAAACCTCTATTGGTTTATCACTCTGAAAATCCAAGAATTTTCAAGAAAAATAACGTTATTAAGTCCAAACTGCCCGTCCATTGGAAGTCCAATCAAAAAGCCTGGGTGACCCAAGTTATCTTCAACGAATGGATTCTGGAAACCTTTGCTCCTGCCGTGAAGAAATTCTTGCTGGAAAAAGAACTGCCGCTCAAAGCCCTTCTGATACTTGACAATGCCCCTTCTCACCCAAAAGACCTAGAGGAAATATTGCAGGAAAATTATCCTTTTATCAAGGTGCAGTATTTGCCACCAAACACCACATCCATTCTTCAGCCAATGGATCAGCAAGTTATTGCGAACTTTAAAAAACTCTACACTAGAGCCCTCTTTAATAAGGTGTTTGAAGAATGCGAGTTTGGTGGAGACAATATGACTGTCCGAAAGTTTTGGAAGGAGAAATTTGATGTCCTTATGGCAATACGACTTATACAGAAGGCCTGGGAAGAAGTGTCACAAAGGACCCTCATTTCTGCTTGGAAGATGCTTGTGCCTTCGTGGACCCAGGAAGAAGCAGTAGTTGATGACACAGAAGTGGTGAAGGACATCATCACAGTGGCCCAAAGGTTGGAATTAGAGGTAGAGGAAGAGGATGTAGAGAAGCTTATTGAGGAACACGAAGAAGAGCTGACAACTGAAGAGCTCCAAGCACTTCTGGTCCAGCAACAGGACAATGCTCAAAGGGAAGCGTCATCTGATAACGAGGAGCAACAATCAAACAATCAACCAATCCCAACTGCTGACATCAAGAACATCCTGGTCAAATGGAAAGCAGTTCAGGAGTTTACCAATGCCCACTATCCGGATTCAGCTGAAGCAAACAGGATCAACGATCTTTACTCCGATACTCTTGTCCGTTATTTCCGGCAGATGTTGGAGAAAAGAGAAAAACAAACGACTTTGGACAGGTTTTTCATGAGACCATCGGCCAAAAAGCAGAAAATGGATGAAGATGTGCAAGATTCGGTAGACTCTACTTAGTCTGTCTTAAAATTAAAAAAATGTGTTTGTTTTTTTTTTAAATTATGTTTTTAGATGTATCTAAATAAAAATAATAACAAAAAATTTATCTTTTTTTTATGTCATCTTAGCATATTTTATGCTACAGAACGAATTATTTTTTTTAACATGTATTGTTATGGGAAAGCGCATTTCACATAACGAACTTTTCGCATAACAAACTTGCTCCTGGAACGAATTAAGTTCGTTGTGTGAGGCACCACTGCTATCTGGATTGAACAATGACAGGCAATTGTGGAAAAGTAAAATACATGGGGAGACTAACGGAAGATGAGCTATTTTAACAAGGTCTCTTTGTATGAGTTTCTCTTTGCCTTGACTCCCTGTCCTCCTCTGTCCCCACCATCTCTGGTGATAAGAAATGGGAGGGTGTCATTCACATGGGAATTTTATCTCTTACTTTCAGAAGGAAAAGGGGGAGGAAGATCAGAATGTCCTTTTTCTTTTAAAAACCTTATTTTTAATTGATTTCAGAGAGGGAGGAATTGGAAGAGAGGGGAAACATCAAGGAAAGAGAATCATTGATCCGCTGCCTCCTGCACACAACCTATTGGGGATCAAGCCTGAAACCGAGGCATGTGCCCTTGACTGGAATTGAACCCCAGACCTTTCAATCCACAGGCTGATGTTCTAACCACTGAGCCAAATTGACAAGATCCAGAATGTCTTCTGTTAGAAATAAGGTGAGCCTCCCAAGTCAGGGGTTCTGGTAGAAAACAAAACATACTTGGGAGCCAGGCAGCAAGGCAAACATCTTTACTGCTATGTAGAAGGGTGCACACACATGGTCTGGAAGCACATGTACACCGAGCAGGTGGGCTGCTCGGCGTTATAACCCCTTGTGCACATGACCTGTCCCTTGCTCTTGATTGGTGCTCAGGCTCACAGTATTTTGAGATTGACTAATTGAAAGGGAGGGGTTGACCTTTGCTCTTTCAAGATGGCGGCCCCCAGGAGAGCTGCAAGCCATTTGGCCAACATGGTGGCTGCCAAGTCACACAGTCCAAAATGGCGGCTGTCTATCTGTTATTTGACAGAAAAGATGATTTGTTTATTCTCATACTTCTTATACCTTCTGTTCTTCAAGTGTCTATAACTCAAAATAATCCTTATGCCTTTGGACGAAAGGGGCCACATGCTGACCTGACAAGCTCAGGGAAGGCCTGCATGGTGGCCTTGCAAACTCAGAGACCTAAAGTCACCACAAAGGATGGTCTGAAATTAACCTTTCACTAAAAGCAGTTATGGTGGGTAGTGCATCTTAGGCCGGTATCTTCCCAAACAAGGTCAATCTTTGCCTTAACTAAGCCTATCTGTCTTTTTGCAATTATAATAACAGACCCTTGAAATGTCTGGGTAACTTGTAACTTTTTCTGGACCCCTTGGGGCACAACCTAAAGTGGCTGGGCATCAGGACAGATACAACAAACTCCTTCATTGTTATGTTCATTGTTCCTGCACTCACCTAAGTATGTGTCTATCATTTTACTTTTTATCCAATCCCAGGGCTTTCCCTGCTTCGCTTTCTCCCTCCTCTCTAGTCTATCACCAATGGATTTCATAAGCCACCTGCATCCCTTTCCTTTGATTGCGATGTATAAATACAGATCTAACCCACATTCTCCAGAGTATTATCTTAATCCATTGAGGTTCTGCTTCCTGGTATATGTTGACAGTTTGGCTCAAATAAACTCACAAAAATTCTTTACAGGTTTCAATATTCTTTTACGTTAACATACATGCGAAAGTGGCACATTTTGTCACTGGCTGTATCTGGACAAGGTCTTTAGGTGAGGGTTACTCATGGTACTAAAGGCAGCCAAGATCTTGAACTGGGTTGTCAAAAAATCCCCAGGGCTGCTCAGTCCAGTCCAAAGCCAGTTGAAATACATCTGTTATGCCCAGACTTCATGATCCCCAAGGACCACCAGGGAGCCGAGTCCGATGCAATAAACAAAAGAGCCTTCTCCATGCTAGCATGGCCCCTCCCATCCATGCCAGCAGCATGGCGGAAGAGAGAGCGAACTTCTCCCAGTCTAGGGGTTTTACTGCGGTCGGTGGTGATGTCACTGCCTCGGCTAACCCTGATTGGTTGGGTGAGGGCTAGGGATAACTCCGCCCTGTGGGGCGGAGTCGGGAGCTCATCCTCGCCCCACCCTGCCCTCTCACATCCAAAATAGAACTCATCACCTTTGTGGATGAAAAGAGGCAGCATACTATCCCTAACAAGCTCAGAGACCTAAAGTAACCACATAGGCTGGTCTGAAGTGAAAACTTTTTAACTAAAAGCAGTTTATGGTGGGTAGGCATGTCTAGGCTGGCTAGAATCTTCCCTGGCAAAGGTCAACTTTCACTTTAATGGAGCCTATTGTCTTTTTGCATCTACACAATATACCTTTGGAATGTCAGGGTAACTTCCCTTTTTCCAGACCCTCAGGGCACAACCGATGCACCTGGGTGGAGACCGAATCCTCTCATTGTTATTATGATGTTAATTGTTGACTGTTAACGATCCTGTACTCACCTCTGTAAAAGAAGCCTGTGTCTTTCATTTTCCTTTTTACCCAATCCCAGGGGCTTCCCTGCTTTGCTTTCTCCCACTTCCCTAATCTACCACCAGTGGATTTCATGTAACCCACTTTCATCTTCTTTTAGATTGTACTGTATAAAATAAGATGTCAAACTGCCATTCTCTGGAGCATTTTCTAAGTCTGTTGAGATTTTGCTTCCCTGCAATTGTCATTAGTTTGGCTTAAATAAACTCACAAAAATTCTCTATAGGTTTGAATGTTTCTTATGTTGACATGAATTAAGTAAGATACAATCATGCTAGCGTAGCGAGGTGGTGGAGTGTCCTTAATCCACTATGTGAGAAGAAACAAGTCATCTTTTCTGTCAAAGAACAGAAATTTTGTACTGCGTGACTTGGCGTCTGCCATATTGGCCACATGGCTTGCAGCTCTCCTGGGGGCTGCCATCTTGGAACAACAAAGGCCAACCCCTCCCTTTGAATTAGCCAATCTCGAAAGACAATCAAGAGCCAGGAACAGGTCACGTGCATAAGGGGTTATAAAACTGAGCAGCCCACCTGCTCAGTGTGCATGTGCTTCCAGACCATGTGTGCATACACTTCTACGTAGAAGTAAAGATATTTGCCTTGCTGTCTGACTTCCAAGTATGTTTTGTCTTCTACCAGGAGCAATTTGGGAAATCTCCTTATTTCTAACAACTACGACTGTGATGTGAAGAGAGACACACAGGGAGAACACCATGTGATGACAAGGCAGAAATGGGAATAACGGCAGCTACAAGCCAAGGAACACCAAGCATTGATGGGCACTACCAGGGAAGCTAGGAAGAAGGACAGAAGATTCTACCCGGAGTCTCAGAGGCAGCATGGTCCCACTGCACCTTGAGTTTGGACTTCTAGTCTTCAGAACTGTGAGGGAATACACATGTTATTTAAGCCACCAGGTGTGCAGGACTTTGCTATGGCAGCCCCAGGACCCAATACAGCTCCATGCCTTAGTCCACCCATGCTCTACCCCAGGCCAGCAGACTTGGTTTGCTGCAAGAGCCTCTGAACTGCTTTCCCACTTTCAGTGTTGCTTCTTTGATATTTGTTCTACATATGAGTCCTGAATGAGCTTTCTAAAGCTTAAATTATTCCCCTGTTTACAATCCCCAGTTCTCTAAAGATAAATTCTGAACTTCCTTTCCTGATACACAAGGCCCTTCCTATGGGCCTGTCCAGCATCGACTTGTGCATGTTTTTCAGCTGCTCTCCACGTCTGCAGTTCCTCCATGTTCCTAACATCTTTGAACTCTGGGCTTTAATCCTCATTAGATGTCTCTATTCCCAACTCTGCCAACATTGATGGTGCTTTCTTAAGAGCACGTACATGGATCTTATCCCATCAGAACATAGATACCATTTCTTTACGATGCATGCCAGCCTAGCTGTCTGCCTCCCTCATCTGTAAGCTCCCCAGGCAGGGGCAGTGTCTTCTTCAGCATGACAGCATCAGTGACCAGCAGTGACTGCTCCATTTTAGGTGCTCATTCTATTGGATAGAAGTGGACAGGGGACTGACTGCTTTTATTCTCATGCCTCTTGGGTTTTAGATTTTCAATTTGGAAAGATTTTTAACCACCAAACACAATTTATTTAGGTTAATTTATTTGGGCATATTATGGGGGTTATGCATGGTTTTCTTTTTATTTTATTGCTAGAGGCCCTGTACTGAAATTTGTGCATGGGTGCAGTCCCTAGGCCTGGCCGGCGATTAAAGCATGAGCTTCTGGCATGGAAGGGCCCTGAGCATCACCTGGGCCCCTGCTCGCACCCACCTTGGCCTGGTGCCACCCACTCACCTGCTCCACCATCCCACTGTGGTCCCACTCTCATCAGGGCCCATCGGGACTGGCAGCACCTCCACTGCCACCCACTGCCAGCACTGCATTGCCGACGCCCATCATGTTTTGTGCCACCCGCTGGTGGTCAGTGCGGGTCATAACAAGTGGTTGAACTTCAGTTGAGAGGACAATTTGCCTATTAGGCTTTTATTACATTGGATTATTTTGGTTTTCTTTTTCTTTTAATATTGAGAACTGCTTGAATAATTTCTAAGCTGCTTTCTTGTTGGGAAATAATGCAGGATTTAGTGATCCTGGTTTTTTAATCTAGTCAATCTCCCTACATTTAATTGCTAAGGAAACTGAGGCCCAGAGAAATGAAATGGCTTGCCTAAGACTTACTGTGAATTAGTAACAACACCAGGCTGAAACTCCAGTTTTCTTTTCTTTTTTTTAAAAAAATACATATATATATATTTTATTGATTTTGTACAGAGAGGAAGGGAGAGAGATAGAGAGTTAGAAACATCAATGAGAGAGAGTCATCGATCAGCTGCCTCTTGCACACCCCCTACTGGGGATATGCCCACAACCAAGGTACATGCCCTTGACCGGAATCGAACCCGGGACCCTTCAGTCCCCAAGCCGACACTCTATCCATTGAGCCAAACCGGTCTCGGCTGAAACTCCAGTTTTCTGACTTCCGTCCAGGGTTCCTTCTGCTCTTTCGCTATATATATATATATAGGTAAGCTAGTTGTTTGCTGGGCAATGTTTAACAACAGGCTCTCTAAGGGAGGGGGAGGTCTTGGTTTGTAGCATGTATTGGTTTCTGTGATATAAACACTTTTACCTTGGTGAATTTCAAGGTATCTATAGGAAGCCACTGAACCAAGTCATAAAGAGCTGGTTCAAGCAGACTCCAAAGTACTGTATTAAAGGTTCATAGTGCTGGGGAGTCCAGCCATTCGGAGAGTGGCTGTTGTCAGGACATGCTAAATTCCGGCTATAAAATGATGCAGAAGGCTCTAAGTAAAAATAACATCCCCAAGGAATGATCTGCTGAAAATCTGACCAGATGACCATGTGATTAGAAAGAGCCGCTCATTGTCAAGTGTTGGAATGAAAAGCCAGTGATAACTTCTGCAAAGGTGTTGACAAACCAGAAATACAAGTCCCAGAGGCAGGCCCACCTCCTCTCTGTTGCTTTTCTGCTTTATCTCAGGCAGAAATCATTCCTCCTTCCTTAATAGCTCCCATGCATTCATACTCAGCTCCTTTTTTGTTTGTTTGTTTTAATTTTTGTTTTGCTTACTAAGCAGTGTTTCCCAAAGTGTGGTACACGCATCCCCAGGGGTACGGGAAGAGTTTGGTGGGGGTACGCGTTGCACGGAGTTTGGTGGGGATATGCACTGCACCGTGCTTAGCTGTGCCTAATTCTACGTTCTCATGAGTATGAGGGGTACTCAGCGTTACGAAAATTATAGAAGGGGTACACATATGTCAAAAGTTTGGGAAACACTGGCTTAGAGAATATATCCAAACTTCCTAGCTTGGCAGAGAGGTCTTCTACCAAGTGAGTTTCCAAAGAAGGTGGGTGGAGACAGCGGAACACAAGCTTTAGGGCTGGATCAGCTCAGGGTCCAACTCCCGCCCTGCTAGTTAAGGCTGGTGTCCTGACATGTCGGCCTCAATTCCTTTGTTCTTAGATTCCTTCCTTGAAAGATTAACACAAGGATGAAACAACATAAGACACGTCAGGCGCCTAACGTGCCACCTGGCACACGTTAAGGATACAAGAAATGCCTGTTCTCCCCTTTTACATTAGGTTAAACATTTCCTGCCTCTTCAAATAGCCTTTTCACTTTTGAAGACCTTGTTTGCCAATGAATGAATGAGTTCATCTACTCAGCCTCTTGACAAATATTCAGACAGGAAAATGCCTCTGTGAACTGACTCTCTGATTCCGTTGTCTGTAATTTCCAGTGGTTTTGCAGAAGTAGGACATGGGTAAGTTCTTGGGCTCAGGGGTCAGGGAGGCAGGGTAAGAGCCCACGGAAGTTGTTCTTAACGTGGACCAAAGTGCTAGAGGGAGGCAATGGGGCCTGCTGATGATTAAGCCTCACAAATGGAAGCTATAACAGTGAGTGATGCCAGTGCCCGAGCTAAGGGCTGGACACTTAACCCACAGCCTTACACTCATACTTTTAATCCTCACATTAACCTTAAACTCATTCCTTTAATCCTCACATTAACCTTAAACTCATTCCTTTAATCCTCACGTTAACCTTATGGGAGTAACATCCTCCTCCTTTTGCTGATGAGAAAACAGATGTTCAGAGGAGTTCATGCTCTACCATGTTCCATGTACACATACTATGTGCTAGGCACTCTTCTAGGCATTGGAGATAGAACATGAACAAACAGATAAAAATCCCTGCCCTCGGGGCAGGGTGGGGGCGGCTGGGGGCAGGTAAGAGATCAACCAAAGGACTTGTATGCATGCCTATAAGCATGACCAATGGACACAGACACTGGTGGGGACATGTGCTGGGGGGTGGGAGTGGCCAGGGAGGGATGGATGGGGGAAAAAGGAGACATATGTAATACTTTAAACTAGGGGTGTCGAACTCAATCAGAGAAGGGGCCAAAATCTAAAATCCAGCCTAAATCTCGGGCCGAATGGTTTACTGAACAGTCATAAACTGTCATTGTGATGGAAACGCAGCGGAGTGCAGTGATGACAGTGCGGTGCGGGCCACATTGCAAGGCCTGGCGGGACGGATTTGGCCCGAGGGCCTTGTGTTTGACACATGTGCTTTAAACAATAAAAAAATAATAAAAAAATCACTGACCTCATGGAGCTGACATATGAGGAAAGAGTGCAGAAACACAGTGGAGTCACTAAGGGGAAACAGAGAATCAGAGTAGACTAAAACATAAGGAAAATGATTTAATTTCATTTAACTAGCTGGAAACCTAAACTTGTGAATTTTCTAGTTGCGTGTCAATGCCTGGAGATAAATAAATCCTGTAGGTAATCTTCTGAAAAAATGTGGGAAAGAATGTTCATGTATCTAAACCATTGGGCATCTGGAAGAGCTTAACCTCAGAGCACATCAGAAGTTAAGATTGCAGGACTGATTCTTCTAACAAAACAAAAAAAAAGTGCTTTTATACTATAAAAACCATTTTCTTCAGAACACTCTGGGTATCACCTGATAGTGTTTCCTGAGTTGCAAAGTCACTCATTTAAAACCCTTGAATAAAACTTTGTCAAGTAATTCTAGCAAAGCCTCTGATTCGTTAATGTTTGGTTGACACATTAACAAGGCAATAAACAAGATAAATAAATAACATATATTGTATGTCAGGTGGTGCTAAGTGCTATGGAGAAACGTAAAGAGGAGCAGGAGTTTGAGGTGGGGGTAGGCTGCATTTTGACTTCAGGTAACCCGGGAAGGCCTCATGGAGAAGGTGACCTCTGTGCAAAGATGTGAAGGGGGGGGGGGGGCAGGGCAGTGGGCCACGTGGTTAAGTAGTTCAGAAACTTGCCTGAGGCTACCAGGAAGTGTCCACTGCCAGGCGCTCTCATTGCATCAGGCCTCTTTTTCAAGAGGCAATGCTGCTGTCCTCCAAGCAGAGAGAGAGAGAGAGTGTGTGTGTGTGTGTGTGTGTGTGTGTGTGTGTGTGAGAGAGAGAGAGAGAGAGAGAGAGAGAGAGAGAGAGAGAGAGAGAGAAAGAGAGAGAGAGAGAGAGAGAGATCTCCCTGGGCTAATCCTGCCAGGACCCGAGCTTCCTGATACCTTCCAGGGGCTGAGGCCTCCCATTGTTGATTTTCATGAAAACTTGGCAGCCTCCTGGTTTCCCCTCCCTGAACTCTGTGCCACATTCCAATGGCTTTATTTGTGTGCTTTGGAGTCCCGCCAGGCCTGGGGCCGGGACAGATTGCCATGGTGATCTCCTACTCTTTCCAGATGGAAATCTCTCAAGGATGTTGCCCTTGGGCCTGAAATAGTTCAGGCCTGCTCTCAGCAGGCAGCGGGATAAAGTCTGGCGTGGTGAACTGAGCTAGGAAACCTACTCCCCCTCGCTGCTTTTGAACTTGTGCAAAGCGAACCCTGGGGAGAGGCTTCTGGGCAACACGCTCGATTTGGGGTTGGAGCTGGCCCTTCTGGGATACCTGCCCGGACGGCGCCTTCTTTTAGTTACAATCCAGTTGTTATCTTTAGGGCCCGTCTCTGAGAGACCAGCTGAAACAGAACAGTTCTAAAAAGCTCAACTTCACTGAGGTAAGATTTGCATACAAGGAAATGCACCAATTTGAAGTGTATGGTTCGAAAAACAAACAAAACAGAAATAGACTCAGATACAGAGAACAAAGTATAGCTGCCAGATGGAAGGGGGATGAGAGGCTGGGTGGAAAGGTGAAGAGCTTAGTAAGTACAAATTGGTAGTCACAAAATAGTCATGGAGATGCAAAGTACAGCACAGGGAATAAAGTCTCTCTTATATAATAAAGAGGTAATATGCAAATTAACCCTCATGCCCTCACAAGATGGCTGCCTACAACCAGGTGGAGGGAGAGTGAAGGGGAGGGTTAGTAGGGACAACCAAATGACTGAACAAGCAGGCTTCGTGGGGCTACCAGGCTGGTGGTAGGGGCAGCTGGGAGTGACCAGGTCGGCAGTGGGGGGCAGTTAGGGGCAACTAGGCTGCAGCTGGGAGTGACCAGGTCGCCAGTGGGGGGCAGTTAGGGGCAACTAGGCTGGCGGGGTGGGGCAGTTGGGAGCGACCAGCCCAGCAGGGAGGGGGAAGTTGAGGGTGACCTGGTCAGCACACAGAGGCAGTGAGGGGCGATTAGGCTGGCAGGGGCCAATAGGCTGGCAGGTGAGTGATTAAGAGCCAGTGGTCCAGGATTGTGAGAAGGATGGCCAACTGCCAGACATCCCCTGAGGGGTTCCAGGCTGGGCTGAGGGGGACCTCTTGTCTCCTCCCCCTCCCCCGTGCAGGAATTTCACGCACCAGGCCTCTATACTATAACCATGTATGGTGCCAGGTGGGTACCAGACTTATTGGGTGATCACTTAGTAAATTATATAAACCTCTAAAAAAAGAGAAAAAATATATAAATCTCTAATCATTATTCTGTACACCTGAACTAATATAAAATAACAATGAATGTCAATTGTTACTAAAAAAATTAAATAAAAAAGGAGAATCACTTCAGTTAGCACTAGATATTTACACAGACACACACTCACACACAGAATTAGTTCTCATTATTCACAGTGGTTATAAAAAAATAAAGCATACCGTTTGATGAGTTTTGACAATGTATACACACTTGGGAAATGACCACTACAATCAAGTTATAAAACTTTTCCATCGGTTCCCAACATTTCTTCCTGCTCTTTAGCAGTTATCCCCTCCTCACCGCAGATCCCGTTTGCCTTTTCTGGAAGTTCATGTAAATGGAATCACCGGCATGTATGGCATGGCGGGCTGTCTTGGCTCGGCCGGAGGTTCAGCTGTGTGGTTGCTTGTATCAGTAGTTCCTTCCTTTCCACAGCTGGCTCCACGGTGTGCGGTGACCACAGTTTGTCCATTCTCTTGTTGACAGACATCTGGGTTGCTTTCAGTTTCCCATGATGACCAATCCAGTTGCTAGGTGCATTTGGGTATACATCTTTGTTGAACAGACACTTTCATTTCGCTTGGGTAACAGCAGCAGTGGAATGGCCTGGTCATATGGTAACTGCACATTTAACTTTATAAGGAACTGCTGCGTAGTATGTTCTGATGCAATTGGTTTGGACTCGCAGGGACTGGAACTGCCTCAGGAATCGGGTACAGGGGGGATTTCTAGAAGGGAGAGCAGGTTCCTTGATCAGTGAATAACTTGCCTGACTATTTCAGGAATTCCATGAACACTTACCGGTAGGTAATGAGAACATGTGGGGTAAGAGGCAGGTAGAAGTCATGGGGTGACTGCTTGAAGGAGGATTGTGGGGACTTTTGAAAGGGGTGTGTGTGTGTGTGTGTGTGTGTGTGTGTTGGGGGGGCATTGTGTGTGAAACAGGGCTCAGGGTCGCAAACTAAAAAATCTCAGCACAGTCTGGTTTTAAGTGATCAACAGTTCTCTTTAGGGCAACTTGTTTTTTGGCCTTTTTAAAAAACAACAACAACAACAACACACACACACACAAAAACCTCCTAACTATCCACTATCATCAAGGAGAAAGGAAGGCAAAGAGAGGAACACATCTGCCTCTCTATGCTGGGCACTTACCATATTTATCTCATTTAATCCTCACAGCGACAAAGTGAGGTCTGTGTTCTTTCTCAGTGTTTGATTTAAGGATCAGTTATAAACCACCAGAAGCCAATTCCAGCATGTCAGCAGGGCTGAATCATCTGGAAATGGCTGAGGGCATTTCCCCAAACCTGAAAAGGATGCATGAATGATTGCCAGACAGCTGAGGGCATTTTAATCTACATGTTATTGCCTCCTACTGGCCAAACACCTGAACAGCTGTAGGCAGTTTCCCAAATCTGACAATGGATTCTGTATACCAAACCCTGACCTTTGGTATGTATATCTACCTTGCTTTAGGACAATTTGTGTTAATAAAAAGCAAGGGGTCCAGAGAGACAGGAGAACTTGGTTCGGCTAATTATATATATATATATATATATATATATATATATATATATATATATATATATATATATATATATTTAAAGCAGCCCTAACCGGTTTGGCTCAGTGGATAGAGCGTCAGCTTGGGGACTGAAGGGCCCTGGGTTCGATTCCGGTCAAGGGCATGTACCTTGGTTGCAGGCACATCCCCAGTAGGGGGTGTGCAGGAGGCAGCTGACCGATGTTTCTAACTCTCTATCCCTCTCTATTCCTCTCTGTGAAAAATCAATAAAATATGTATTTTTAAAAAAATCTCTTATCACAGGCATCTCAGTCATGAACTCAGAAGTGTGAAAAGGCATAATAATTATTTTCCCTGTTCTACAGAGCCAAGCTGTTTTGGAAGTTTGGCTATGTAATGCACATTGTAAATCTCTCCTTAAAACTTTCAGGAAAAACACTCATTATATTCATCTTTGCTTTTGAAGTTGGATGTCTGTGTGTATGCACATGCACGTGCCCATGTTAATGTAATTATGTATGAGATTGACTTAAGTCTTGGGTAGGAACAAGGAGATTCAGTTACATTTGAGTTACATGTAATGGAGAAACAGAGAATAATTGATTTGAGAAAGATGCAGTTTTCCCAAGACCACAGTGTTCTGACTCCAGTGTTATGTCCCATTTCACTACACGGTCCTGCTGAGGTTCTAGGAACTTGCCTTGGGTGCCAAGATCAGATACATTCCTCTGTTTTGTAATTCCAAATTTTTTCAATGATTCCATCTGCAGGTGGATGGATGGTCTGGTGGAGGACATCAGAATATGTCACCCTAAAACATGCCTCTTCAACTTAAAAATTATTAAGAAACTAGAGGCCCAGCTCACAAATTTGTGCATGGGTGGGATTCAGCCAGCCCACCCTGATAGGCAGTGAGGTTGGCTGGCCCTGCCCCCAATCGAGGGGCAATTTGCATATTAGGCTTTTATTATATAGGAGGATAGAAAAATGCAGGAAAAGCTCTCTATACTTTTTTTCCTTCCTGCCTAAAAGCAGGATATAAATTTTCATTTATTGGAGATGACTTTAGACTCTTCTTAGCCCAGAGATTGCAACAGAGGAATCTGCAAACAACCTTACTCCATTAATTTTCCCCACATATTTATCTTCACACAGTTTGCCACCCTTGGAAGCCAAAAGCCCGTGGTAGAATAATTTGAACTTTTATTTGTCCTGCAATTTATC